ATCTTGCAATCGCCATGCAAATCGAAGGCTTTGTTTTCTGCTATTTTTTTTTTCATGTGATTAGGAGCGGCCGCTAATATTTTACCACAGTCTTGCGAAAATGCAAAGATGCCTACATATGACGCAGAGTTACAGTACGTGAGTACCTAATACTCTACATCCTAAAGATTTGATCCCGGTACTGAGGTACGTAGCGTAGGTACTTGCTGAATAATCCAACAGTCTTGAGGGGTGATATCTCCAACGGCAATGCTTTATCTCCTCAAACGCTCGCCAAATGTCTGGTCCGCTCCAATAACTTCTGTGAGTAGAAAATGGAGAACTACAATGGGATCGCCATTCGAGATCGTAAGGACTCTTGCCAGGACCGAGATCTTTCCACGTCGTCAAAACACACGCTCTGCCTCCATTATCCGGCAAGTCAACGAAGCCCGCCCAGTACTCGGTGCAACAGGCGTCGCACCGGAGGGGATAATCCCAGCGATGAAAGAAGGATTCATGGCACGACTTTTGCGTGACTCCATGCGCAAATGTTAGCTGACCAAGTGCGATCGAGGCCGTGTTGAGTTTGGGAGGCAAAAAACCTGATTGTGACCCAGCCGTAATGCTGGCAGACTTGGCTAAACTTCCACTCTGTGTTCTCCAGAATTGCTCTGACCTGAGAAAGGGGATCTGGGGTTTTAATAGCCTTTCCCTTATCGTAAAGCACCATTTTCTCAGTCTTGAGAAGCAAATGCCCCTTAACAAACGCGAAAGTCGTAGTTACAGTGGATTTTACACCCCCCCAATCTCGAATTTGTCGCTGGACGCCAGTGTTTCAGGCGTATAGGCTGTGGGCTTGTAACGGTGGCATCTCATCACTGCGGCGACAGCATTAAAAGTTACTTGCGCAGGGAGCCAAGGCGAGAATGATGGTTGTTTTCGCTGCTCCCGGTCGGTCTTCTCCGTCTGACAGGCTCGTATATCGGTGCGAGTCTCCCAGGGCCAGGCCGACGCTGGAAATGGTGCGTGAAAGACTTGACAGAATGGGCATAGAATGTCTAGCATACATACTCCGTCCCCGGAGAGCAAGAGTAGTAAGGAATATCGCGATGGGGGGCTGAGTTTAAGGGCTTAACTTCCTAACCGATAAAGCATCGTGCGGCTGACCAGGGCTAACTCAGCTTGCGCTTCGGGTAAGAGGTATTTTGCGATCTCGAAGGCGATCTCTAACGGAATAGTCTCCGGGGTCGATCCGTTTGAGGGACGATGCGGGGGGTACGACGAAAGCGTGACATCTTCCCATTTTCGTCCTCCCCTTCTTCTCTCAACCCCTCGCTCTGATCCTCGCAAAATTGCGCTGAGACACAAAACATATTTGACAGTTCACACTAAACTAATGTCAACTCACGGCATGTAAGTTCAAATACCTAAGCCATATTACCAAACAGCTAGACTCAAATGCACTTTGGGTGCGTTGCACCAATCGCTGGCCATGTCGTGTGCAACAAGGCAGCTAAGTTCGATGCCGCATCTCTTTCATCGTTTCATGTTCTCTCCCAATTGAGTGGTCGCGTAATACTCTGCCGGTGTCGTGGTCTTATGGCGGCGCACTCGAATCAATCTTTCCAAGACATTCGTCAGATGGATGAATCGGCATACCAAGTCGGCATTTACGGAAGAGAAATGGCCAAGATCCTCAATGCGGAGAGCACGTGGATTGAAGTAGGACTCTCTGCCTATATATATCTATATCTTACTATGCGACCGGCCAGCCAGACTCGAGCCCTATAGAGTAGCTGCCCCTCTCCGCCACACCGGCACGGCGGTATTCTGCATATTTCGGCATGAAACAACAAATCACGATCCCCTACCACCTTTGCCGTACATTACTTACAAACGAACCCGGATACCAAAAAAAAGCCGGGGGCGGGCGCGGTTGGCGCAGGCGGGTGAGCAGCTCGATCTGCTCGTCCATATTTAGCCTGGATGTTTGCCGAACACCGTGACCCCCCTGCGGACATCCCATCCCTGGATCCCCATAGGATAAAACGCCACAACTGTCAAATGTAAGTCATCTCCCGTGTCCATCTCCCCAGGCTTGCCAAGATTAATCAACCTTTGCAAGCCATGTGCCGCCCCCCCTTTCTTCCCCAGTTCCGTTGACTTTATTTGCCTGTCCGGGCCCGGCGGAATTAAGAGGGATGGGATGCGGCAGGCACGTTGCATCTGTCAATGGGAGTTGTCGTGCCCGCCTTCTCTATTCCAGCTCTCTGGTTTTCGTCCTGGCCCTTGCATCGTGCCTCTTCAATGAACCGTTACACACCGAATTGACCTAGCACTGGGAGCGACTCATGGTACGACAAATGTCAAGATGGCATCATCAACCAAACAGCCAATCGACCCCGAGAGGGCAGAAGAGAACGTGACCGCACGCATCCTGGCGATCGTCACGGTGTCGTATGCCCTCGCCATGATCACTGCGTCGCTGAGATTCTACACCCGGGCCGTGCTCGTCAGCTCGTTCGGCAAGGACGACGTTGTCATGGCTCTGGCCGTGGTAATGAGCCCACTTTCTTACATACCCGTACCTCATTCACGGTATCAGAGCGGCCACCTACCTACCTATAGACTGGGAGAGAGGAGCTCACTGATGGTCGCAGCTTTGCTCGTTGGTAGGACTAGTCACCTGGATCATTGGATGTCAACACGGCGACGGCCGCCACCAAGAAACAATCGACGCGGAGAGCTACGCGATTACATTGATAATGCAATACATCCAATCTGTCGTGACGGCTACCTTTGGCTTTCTCTTTCTCAAGATATCCATCGCCATGTCTTTGCTTCGACTGAGCACCGGGAACTGGTACAGGTGGATACTGTGGGGCCTTTCTGGTAAGCGTACCTACCGTACATGCTGTTGGTCGCCTCCAGCCTCCAGTTGCAGCTGCTGACAAGAAACGGGCGGAAAGCATTTGTCTGCCTTTATTCGGCACTCGCGTTTATCAGCTTCATGACCTTCTGTCGACCGATTGCGGGGATGTGGGATAGTAACATACCACACCACTGTTACAGCAAGGAGCTGTATCGCAACTTTGGACTGTTCAATGCTGGTGCGTTGGTCCCCCTTAAGCCGATTTGCGCTGTGCCATGTCTAATCTTCAAAACAAAAAACACGACAGCATGCAACATCTTGACTGATGTCGCCTTCGCAACGTTGCCTATCCCAATTATCTGGAGTCTCCAGATGCAACGCCGGACACGCATTGTGCTGATATGCATTCTCAGTGGCGGCTATTTGTATGACTCTCTTGTTTCTCCCTCATCATCTTTATCCTCTGGCAGCTAATTAGCTGGCTGACATGGATAAAAAAAGTGCCGTTGCTCTAGGAATAGCCAAAGCCGTGTTTATAATCGCCTTTGTTCACGAAAAGGATGGAACCTAGTGAGCATCCCCCACAAACGCCACGTAATTAAATGGTGTGGCAACTGACAAAGTAAAAAGCGAACCGTGGGCGCCATTCTTTGGATAGTAAGTTCAAAACTCTTTGGTTCCAAGTTCCCGCGGAGGAAAGCAACAGGGATTTAGCTAATAACTACCTATGTACTTGTAGTCTACAACTCAACATGGGCATAATCGCGGCATGCGCGCCAATGCTGAGACCGCTTCTCGGTCGTGCTCTGAGACTCTCGGCAAAGTCAACCTACAAACCGTACAAGGATCCCAACTATTACCGAGCGGGGAAGGCACTCGACAGAATGCCAAGAAGCGGGCCAAACTCTGCGCGAGGATATCTGAAGCAAAACACCAACTCCGGGCAGTTTGAGGTGGGAGACCCGCGATGGTCTCCAGTCACCGCACCCAGACATGATGCAAGAGGCGGCCTTGATTTGTTAGCCGAAACCGACATTTTCGCCACCATACGCCAGAACAAGGCCATGGAGAAGAAGGACGAGATCACTGATGAGATTGTCATCGAACGAGCAGACCCCGAGTTCAAGTTGGAGAAGGGCATCGGCATCACGGCAGGCTGAGGTCAAAGGTGGGAGAAGTGAACGGATCTATCTGCCCTGCAGTACGTATGGAAGGAAACAACCGATTCAAGTGCTCAGCGCATGGATTACCATCACCCGCCAGTGTGGGTAAGTTTTTTTGGGAGCTACTACTGCCCGCTGCTTATTGAAGCTCGAGCTAATTAATACATCGCCGAGTCCGAGTCCGAGTCCGAGTCCAAAAAGATGGCCACGCGCCGAACCACGATCAGAGAACCGCCAGTATGCGGTCTCCCCTATCAGAAAACCGACAATACCAATCAGGGCGTATCTCGAGTCTCCGAGTGGTAGGCTCGATATAAGCCCCCTTTTTAATCAGCGCTACCATCCCTGCTTCACTACGGTAGTTGCAGCTTACCTTACCCAGTTTCGTCGGCAGGCAGGGGTTACATTGGGCGCAATCGCCAGATTTACGGAGTCGTGGGTAATGGGGAATGGATGTTAAAGCTCAGCCAAGAACTTAACGAGAACAGGCGGTATGATGAATATATGTGCCGAAAAGTAGGTGTGTATCATGTATTATGCACACATGACAAAAAGTGGTGTCTGTCATGCGAATCCTTGAATGCAGCCAAGATAAGTACCTACATACCTGTAAGGCAAGCCATCGCAACCAATCCCATGTAACATACAACAACAAGCCCAGCACGACCACCAACGCCCCGTAATATTACGTCACGCTCTTTTTATCACTCCCGGTCGCACGATCATCCGGCGTAGTATCACATCATACCCGAGGCGATACATACAAGGCGCCTTGGACCCTTGGTAGGTATCCCAGACATTTGAGCCCTCATCCGAGCCAGTGTTACCCCCAAGGCTTTATAAGGCACCTACATATAACTTTAAGTGTAAAGTATATCGGAATGTCAATTCTTTACTTAGGGGGGGGACGCTGCGAGTGACGGATCATTCCGCCAACTACATATGGAGAAAGTGTCCCAGAGCTTACCAACAAGCGGTTAAACGGGTACATGGTCTAGTGGTATGATTTTCGCTTCGCATTAATATATTACCTTCAGTGTAATTTCGGGTGCGCATGTGAAAGGTCCCCGGTTCGATCCCGGGTGTATCCACGTTTTTTTCTACTCCCTATGCATATCTACACACATCCCTGCCTTCGGTTTTTTCCACTGTTTTTTACTAACAAAGTATCTCGTTAGTGTCGTTACCCGTTTTGTCTTTTTACACTTCTCCTAACTAATACTACCTGTGGCTTCCTTCCTTGCGCATGGTTTCTGTTTAGCAGTGCGCTAATCTTCGTCTGTGCACAGTTGAGGTCAGAATAAGCTTCGGTTCCAACCATCGAGCGACGGGAGCCAGCGGACCTTTTGTTCTGCCAACAAAGATACATGCGCTAAAAAAGTATATTTCAACATCGCACAACTAGCAAGGCGGTACATCAATCATGACTACATACATCAAGCATCAAACATCAAACATCAAACATTAAACATGGGTACTCATAATCCATCACCTCGACCAAAACATGATCAACTCGTCATAATCCTCCTCCGTGCCGTTTTGCTCACAGTTTGAGTTCAATATCTGTCGTCGAAGTTGCTCAGCCTCGTTCCGCCTTTCAGCGGCGATCTCAGTCTCGCCCAGTAGCTCAGCGACTTCCGCCAAGACAAAAAGCGTCCTCGCCATCTCATTGGCATAGATCTTGTGCTGCTGGTAGATCTTGAGGGCTTGCCCTAGACGTTCCCTTCGACACCGTCAGCCACCGCCCGCTGTCCAGAGTGGATATGAGAGAACTCACTGTGCAGCTTCATATTCTTCTTTCTGCTTCAAGTGCCAACCAATCTTATAATGCGCGTCTCCCAACCGATGATGCCCCGGGTTAGTCACCTCCAGGATCTCAAACGCAAACAGGTGCGTCTGGTAAGCATCGTCGAGCTCCCCTTGTCTGATCTGAGTATTTCCCAGCGCAAAGTAAAGGACTCCGGTTCTTGGTCGCACCCAGTTATTATTAGCCCCAATGTGTCGCGTAGGTGGATGGTGAGACCTACCGAAATGATCTATCCCTCACGCCAAACTCCGCCTCCCTCTTCTTGATCCAATGCCCCAACAAGCCTGCCGAGTCGCGCGTCTTGCCCAGGAGACTCAGACAGACACCCAGGTGAGGGACGTAGAGCGACGGATCCCCGGGAAGGTCTCCCCATAGCTCCAAACACTTCCGATACAGCGGCTCTGCTTCTCTGTAGTTCTTGAGAGCCATTTGCGCATTTGCCAGACCGCCATATGCCAGCGCTTCCCGTACTGTCGGTCTCTTGATCTGGCCCTTTCCAATGGCGACGTGGAGGTATTCCAGCTGTTTCTGAAAGTTGTTGAGGCAGGAAGAGGGGTCGTTAGACTCGCTATCTATGCTTCCGTACGCCCCATAAATATCGGCCAGCACGAGCTCGGCATCTTGCGCGTTCTCTCCCAGATACACCTCTGCAGTCCGGAGGAGAGCCCTTGATGATTGGAAGTCACCTCGCTCATACATATACCTGGGAAGAGCCATCAGCTAGGTGCGTTTGACAAGTTAACCTGCGTGTATCTCGACTCACCAAGCCCCGTTGTAGAGCAGCTCGGGCCATTTGCGCGTCACCACCACCAGGGGGCAATGAGGGGAAGAGCCCGGGTTGTTCTTGAGCTTCTGTGTTTGCCGGTACCGCTCGGCGAGGGTCTGAATATGATGAATCAGGACTTGCTGCGTCGGCCATAATCTTTGGTCATGGCGATTATGACGCTCAGGAACTGGCCAAATGTTGAAGATCAGATCAAAGGCACAGTCGAACGAGTGCTGAAAGGTCTCCTTGTCCATGAGAAGTTGGCACGAGGCCTGCACGAGGCGGTGCATCCAGACGGTCCCCGATTCTTCATTCCGTTCAATCAGGCTTTCCACGCACAGGTTCTCTCGCGGTTCTCTTAGTCTGTTAGCGTCGCTAAACATCTGAAGCGCCTCAAGTGTGCTCTTCTTTGACCCGTCATAGATAAAGCGCTCGCTGATTCCGTCCGCATCCAAGAACGATAAAACGTTCAAGAGGGTCTGCGCTCTGCGCTCGAGGTGCTTGCACGAAACATTCAGTGCTGATCCGAGATCACCTTGGTATATTGCCTCCGGCCCACCCATCGGCTTCCCTTTCTGAACGAGGTCGATGTTGTCGTATTCGTCTCGATACTCCGCAAGAGACATTTTCCCAGAACATACTCGACCAGCAATGCACGAGATGGCCAGTGGATGGTTGGAGACCCGCGTGCATATTTCACTAGCGCTGTGTCGGTTGGCCGGGTTATCGTCCCTCTTGGAGAGGTTCAGCAGCAGGTCGAGTCCATCTTTGTCTGCAAGCTTGTCGAGTTCCACTATCTCTCCGGTGAATTGACCCAATGATTTGATGTCTCTAGTCGTGAAGAGGATGGACCCCTTGCCGCGCTCGGACGGTAGAAAGTCACTCAGCACATCCGTTGGCACATCAACGTTGTCGAGGATTAGCAACCAGGGCTCTTCTAGAATCGGGGGGTCGCGAGTAGTCAGTTTCAGTCACTTCTTGAGCACAGCTGCCTGAGTCGTACTTATCAGAGGGTAAAAGGTTAAACTAACTAGTGTATCCTAGCCACCGCTTGACGTGCTCCCGACTGTCGCTCTGATTGGAGACCACAGGTGTAGTCAGTCCCAGTTCTCGATCAAAATCCGAGTAGCTTTGAGCAAGTTTCGCCTTTGTCTCTGCGTGGGCCCATAAAGTGACACGGAAATCGCCACAGTCGGACGAGCTATACGCATATGCCAGCGCTGTCTGTGTCTTTCCTATGCCGCCGAGCCCGGAAATGGCAAGCCTGGCCTGGGCATTTTGGACCTTGAATCGGGGCGACAAGACCTTCTCGAGTCGTTTGAGGTCGGCACCTCTCCCAATGAACACAGGATTTGGTTGATACGGGCGAATGACACGGACTGGAAGATCTGCGGGCTCAGGCAAGGAGTTGAACTTTACCGACGAAGCCTTTTTCCTGACTGGATTCGTTGGTCTGAAAGAACCCTGTCGGGACCCACCGGTCGCCCCGTTGACTAACGTTACAGGGGCAGGCACTTCTGTAAGAATCCAGATTAGAGCATGACGGGGGATGCGAAAACACCAGGTGCTGACCTTGTGGTTCTTTTTCGGTCTCAGGCACAGGGAAGGTTGATAGCAGGCCCGTGATAGACTCCTTCAGGTGCCTCTCGAGTACTGGCTGAAGCCATGGGTGATCTGATGCCTGGGAATGGTCTAGGTTTAATCCGATAACTTGTTCCGATTTTCCGAGGTTGAGACTGGCCGTAGCTCGGGGGACTACATGTAGCTACAATTAGATGAAGAGTTAACACGCTATATCTAGACAGAAGTTTTGTCAATTGTCAGACAACCTACCAGTCTCGAGTCGCGGAACAAACTTGAAGGAAGGAAGTTGAACCGCCTTTTGAGTGCGGTTGGCTTGTCCTCATAGAAGCTGATGAGCCTACGGGGCAGCTGTCCAATCTTGCGGAAGTCCCTCATTCTGGCGAGGTAGTCTTCTGATATCAAAAACTTCAACGATTTGCCAGTGGGAGAGCGATCAAGCTCGACAGCTGCGGAGGCGCGAAATGACTCGTGAAATGGCCCTTCCTCCTCCTCGTTGTGAGCGGTAGCCACAAAAATTGCTGCTTCTACTGCACTGTAAACCGTGCGTAATACTGGATGGTCATGAGAATGATGGAGAGCCTGGGAACTTCGTCAGCAGAAGGATGCATACCCACCAGTCCTCACTGTGATTTACATATTTAATTATATATCCCCCCAGCGTGAATCCGATCAAGACTACCCTGGATGCGGTTGAAACGAGTTTCTGGAGCTCATTGAGCAAGCTAATCGCCGCATTATTAATGCCGGTGGAGGTGTAGTTGTCGACGGGCTTGCTAGCATTCGAAGCGAGCTTGAACACCCGCGTCGGTACGTTGTTTGGTATGACTGAACTCCACCATCTCTTTTCAAGTTCTTCGTTGACGGTCGGGCTAAGTGTTTGCTTCAGGCTGGGCACAATAACCAGTCTGCGGCAGCATCATCAGTATCTGACTTGTGCGCGCAGGAGAGACAGGAGCGGTTCATCTACATCGTGGATTTCTGGTTTGGCAGACAATTCCTTTCAAGGATTAGATTCAGTGACATTGCCGTCAAATGGTGTGCCAAATTTTTGCATGCAATCGCTTGGTTTCGCAAGGATATTCCAATGTGTCATGAGCGGCCTTCGCACTTTCCGCGCAAAGAGTTTGAGGAAGAAAGAGTCAGTCCTGGAAGGAACGACTGGAACAGCAGCAAGAGTCAAGTGCGGGTGTTGGCAACTACGAGGGGGATCACGAATGGAGCAGCAGGGTGAAAATTCCCATGCATCCATGTCCTGTGTAGAAAGCCGGTACCTAACTATCTTGCCCGACAGACTTCATAAAAACAACACATTCCGGCTGCCTTCCCAGCAAAGAGGCTCTGCTTGGGCAATGTCCAGCCGCCACGTCCACGGCATCAACAGACCTGCCGGTATTGGATCTCTTGTCGAGTGCACCCTTACCCTCCGGTGTGGCCTTCTGGTGCCAATAGCTTGTGGTCTGACAAGAGCATACGAGAGGGTGTGGTAAGTTGCGTTACACGCGGTTGCTTGCTTCCCTAACTGTGTGGCCCGCGATGATCATCTTACACACTGCCCGTGGGGAAGGGGGAGGGCTGCTAATTGTTACTAATTGTTTGTGGCTCAAATTCTCTGAGAAACTCTTTGCGCCCCCCATAAGGCATCAATTCCGTTCTTGAGGCCTAAGTAGCTGTACATAGGTGATGAACGCAGAATACTATTCAGCTAATGCGGATGGTTACAGTTAGTTATCTCTGGTTAAATTCAAGCCTGCATGGTGGTCCAATGAAAGCAGAGTGAGGTCACCAGATTTGGAAGAGGCAGAATGCGGTCACCAGATTTGGAAGACCTTCAGAGCCTGATCATCTCAGGTAACGCCATTTATTCTAGTCTCTGGATCACAGCCCGCCGTTACCGCCGTAAACGCTACATATTGATCCCCTGATTGATCCATTGT